GGGGGGAGGGGGGGGGGGGGGGGGGAGACGGAGAAAGGGAAGAAGAGGAGAAGGGGGGAGAGAATAAATCCAAAAAAAATCATTTAAAAACGTAATATTCATTTTTTCGGTTTTGGTTTTCTTTACTAGTAAAAAAGAATGAAACTAAAACCGAAATATTTATTTGATATTATTTATTAAACCGAAATCGAAATTGAGCAGAAAAAATCTTTCAGTCCGTGTGTTTATAATGTTTAAACAAATTGTGATGCCCGTGAAATATAGTTTGTGAAATATAGTTTCTCCGACAAATTTCTCCGACAAATTTCTGCAATATATGAAGAACATACAATAAGTGATTCAAAATGGAAATGGTGCGATTTTTTAATAAAGTGCACGAAAATATATACGACGATGAACGGAGTGGGCGTATCTCTAGTTAATGATGATTTGATGTTTTTTCATTATACAACCGTAAGCAACCATGATTGAAAGCTATCTTTTAATCTCTGAAAATGAAAATAATCTTAACTATAACTTCTGGTTAGATAACGAAAAAACGTCTCAGTTAAAGAGAAAATAAATTTGAAATCCTTCCTTGCTAGCTGACAATTCCATGATAATAAGATTAAAGAAGTCGTCACCACGTGGTTTGCCTCACAGATGGCAACTAGATATAATGTCTGGTCTCGCTATAATAAGTGTATCAACAACAGCGGCATTTATGTAGAAAAATAATGTAAAATATGTACTTTAAAAGAAAAATAAAAATTTTCTGTAAGTATATACTTGTTTTCTTTTAATAGCCATCAGAACTTACTTTCTGAATAACCCTCGTAAAAAATTAAAAAATTGCATTCGAAACGAATATTAATTATTTTTAACTCGTGCTTCGAATTAGTGGAATCGAGATAGAGATAAGATCTCTACTCAGGCAACAGATAAAACAAACTTGTGCACTTCTGTACTCAAAAGTGATCACATTTCAGATATAAACAAATCATGATTCATCAAGAACTTCTAATAATTAGTAATCGATGGAAACAGTGCGAAATGCATCGCTTATTAGATACAAAAAATAAAAATCAAAACAAATAAGTATAGGTCGTTTGATAAAAAAATAGTTTCCACGTCTTGCCTTGTAAGCATCTGGTATGTTGACAGGTTCCCCACTTTCAGCGACGTATCCGACGATTCCGGTACCCCAAGGAATTTTAATTTCATCTTTCTTTTCCATCTCCATCAATGTCGATCTTGAACAGACATCGAATAATTTTGATACCAGACATCTGCTTCTCAAATAGGATTGATCATTACGCTGTAGATTATTTTCGATGTTGGAATTGCTCGCGGCAGCCTCGTGATTCAGAGAGGATGGTGCATTAGTGGTGATAACGGCAGCAGCAGCAGCAGCGGCAACGGTGGTGCCGCTTCTCTCTCCCTGGACAAGGAACAGCGAGCCGCGATCGGCGTGAAGAAGTGTGCTCACATTCTGCAGGATCTTGTGACACAATGATCTCACATCCAACTCATTGCAGATGTCTTTGACCTAAGAGACCTTACAGAAGTTAGATTCTTCAACATAGAGGCTAATGTATATTCCATCGAAGAACCTACCAGCTCGAAAATAAGATCTTTCTCGTCGAGGTGCCTAAGCTCGTGACGCGACCGTCTTTGTGGACGGTTGGAATTACCAGGTCCGACTTGTGGCCCACTCGTTTGATTCGCGTCACTCATTGATACGCTCAAGAAGGTTGGCGTGCCATCGATTGTGTTGACGATCGGCTTTAGAAGGCCTCCACGCTCGAACTCGTGTGCCGAGATTTTGCGTACCGGTGTCGTAGCTCCCGAGCCACCGGCACCACTTCGTCCGGAGGACGAGTTGCCGGCCGTGGCATGGATTGGACTCGAAAGCTCTACGCAACTACTCGATGATGAGGTTGGCGTTGCATGTGATACTAGCCACACGTCAACGGTCTGTCGTGTCACTTTCCTATTAACCGAAATCGAAAATAGTGATAATATATGTATTATACAAAGTATTTCCTCTAACTCGATCATCTAAAACATCCCCGTTGTTTTTAATACGAGAAAATATCAAAGCAAAAAGTTGTCCGGAGGGGCACATATTACGAGTATAAGTAAAAAATTTTTCTCAATATCATATTTTTTAAGATCTCAAAGTCTCTACTTTTTTAAATTGAATTAATTTTTTTACACAGTGATACCTCTAATCATTCTAAATATTAAAGTATTAAGCTAGTGATATAAAAAAATATAGTTCACAAAATATTTTATACCTTATTCTGGCATATATTAATATAAAATGTTAAATAACTCATAAGTTAATTTTTCGACTCCTAGACGAAGTAATATTTTCCACAAATTTACAGTTTTTCAATACATTAACATCTTTCTAATAGGATGTCAGATTGAGCATTAATTTATTAAATTGCTTATTAATTTAATTTGATATTGCTATTATGTCCAGTGGGCTCCACGATTTTCTTCTTTCACGAACATTCGGTAAAATAATCGTTAGGACAAAGTGAACAAAAACTCGAACATTAACGGTCATCAATCGGCGAACGTGATAATTTTCAAAAAACGTGTTGTTAGAAACCTTCCCAGCGATATTGGAAAAATAAACAAAAACAGATATTCAGAATCATCTGATCCACGGCAACAAAATTTATGACAAAGATTACAAATCATGTAAAGAAAATCCTGTTTAAACACAATCAGTTTTAGCAATTACAAAATCTAAATGCGGATCAGGGATCTAGTAGATAAAAACTCATATTTCCAAACTTGAAGGGTGTTTTCGCCAACAACAGAAAGTTGATAAAATAAATGCAAGATGACAAAGCATAGCTTTTAATTTTTTGTTTCTTTTCTAGATTGTCGATCATAAAATTTAAGCAAATACTATCTAGAGGAGAGACACATGTTCAAGTAATAAAAGAGAAACCGGCGATTGGAAAAAGGAAATATGAAAATTTGGGTAAATCATAATCAAATCGTTCGGAAAGGACAATGAATAAGAGTTCTCTCTCTTAAAAAAATGGAGAAGGCTAAACTAAATCCGCCAATAGGTGATTATAAATCCAAAACCCTTAGAGAAAGTGATAACGTATCATGAATAAGTTTTCAAGAGATTAAAACTTGTAGTGCGGCGGAGCAATTTTAGAATTAGCTCCCCAGTAATAACTCGAGAAACAAATTTTCTATCAAAAGCGGAACAATCCCACCAATCCTTGATTTTCCAATTTAACACATTCTATCAAAGAACCACCTTCCAAAGAACTCATATATAAACTGTGGCACCGCGAGACAAGCTCTCTTATTTTATCTTTTATTTTGTTTTTTATTTTGCTCTTATTTTGTCTCTTATTTTCTCAGTCATATTCATCAGTTTGTCGCTCATTATTTTGTCAAGAATTCAGTTAGTCAGTCATATATACACACACAATCTCGTTTTATATAAATATATACAGTTCTTAAATCGAAAATTTCTGAAGTTTCTATTGCGCTTCAATACATTTGATTTAGAATCTGTGCACAAGTGAGATCCAACACCTCTTTGATTCCCACTGAGATCAGTCTCAAGACCAAAACAGTCAGGAGACAAAGCTACCAAAACAATAAATCCTCTTTTTTCTTTATATGCACCGCGAAGTTTAATTTAACACTATTACAACATAAATTGAAATCAATTCTATTCGCCCGTATAACTTACAACAGATTAATAAATATTAAACCTAGGTCAACAAATTCAACAAGCTATAATTAGGTGTAACAGAATAAAAATTTTTATTTTCCACAATTATAATTTTTGGCGATAAATTTCAACGTTTCGACTTAGTCTTACCTAGTCGACTTCATTCGCAGTAATGCATAATTATCTCATATATCAAAATTAAATTAACATATTATAAGGATCATCTTACCTTCGAGTTACACTAGATGGTGTAACGCGACCATATTATATTTAGTCAAATTTGTCGAATAATAGATGAAGTAATGATGAGTCATGAATTTAAATCAATTCATCAGTTAACAGCGAGAAAGAGTAGTAAAAGAAGAAAATTCCAGTAGTATTATTGATTTCAAATTATATAAGATAGTTGTACGTCCTAACAATATTGATAAATTAAAAAGCACAATAGAATATAAATAAATTGCTTTCAGTTATATATAAAACAAATTAAATAGAATTGTACATAATTATTATGAAATAAAGAGTAAAAGATTATGCACTTACAATTTTCATGAAGGCAATACAAATAATACACACACACACACACAC